AAGATTTGGTAGACGCCGTCTGTTCTTTTGGTGCTGTTTGGTTGGAAGAGTGAGGGACATGAGATGGGGAAGTGTCTCGAGTCTTGAGGTTTACTTGTGTGGGTCTAAGGTGAACTCTATTTCGTCGATATGTGCTTCCATCAGGTCTTTTGACCTCATAGGTGCTTGGGCCTAGTATGTTGGAGACTTCACCAAATTTCCAATCTCTTCCTTCCAAATGTTGAAAGAATATGTGCTGTCCTACGTCCAGTTCAGGGAGACTCTGCGCTTTCCTGTCATGGCTTTTCTTGACGGTGTCTTTGCGCGCTTGACGCCTTACCTCAATGGGATCATTGCTCGGATGCTTGTTGAATGAGGGTACGAGTGAGCGCGTCTTACGTTTGAACATGAGTTCAGCAGGGCTAAGACCAACGTCCTGTCGCGGGGTGTTGCGGTGCTCCAATAGAGCTTCAAGTGGATCACTACCTTCTTTGTGAGTCTTGATCAGCAGTTTCTTCATGGATTTCACGCCTGCTTCAGCTTTTCCATTTGCCTGCTGGTGCATGGGTGATGAAGTCACGTGAATGATATGCCAGGCTTTAGCTAACAATTCGAATTCAGAGCTGGAGAACTGTGGGCCACCGTCCGATACAATCATTCTGGGTATTCCGTATTGAGCGAAGTGACTCTTGAGTAGGTTAATTACATGAGTGCTTGTTTGAGTACTGAGGAGATCAACCTCGATAAATGTAGAATAGTAATCAACAGTTACTAGGTAGTACTTATCCGCAATTTGGAAAATGTCAAGTCCAATCTTTTGCCAGGGTTCGTCACCCTCCTTGTGTTGCTTGAGAGGCTCATGTTGATTCTTTGACTTCATTTCTTGGCAGGCTTCACATGAGTCAGCCAATTGCTTTATGTCGCTTGCCATTCCGGGCCAGGATACAGAACTTCGTGCTTGTCGGAACATACTGTCAGCACCGAGGTGAGAGCTATGTAGCCTCTTCCTTATTCTTGACCTCAAAGATTGAGGGATGACTATTGCTTCGCCTTTAAGGAGTACACCATCAGCTGCAGATAGAGTGTCACGGATGTCAAAATAGGGCAATGCTGAGGGAGGAATGTTGCGTTTTCCATCTGGCCATCCGTTCATCACTAGTTCCATTACATCTTGTAGACCATTGTCTTTCTTCGTTGCTTCCTGTATTTCTTCCAGGTGAGCATCAGGAATGTTACTGAATATGTTGACGCTCATGATTCGGGCACAGTTGTCGTGATTGTGACCATTGGAGGTGAGCTCTGCTTAATGTGTCAGCTAGATGAAGTTCAGATCCCTTCACAAACACAAAGTTGACATCATAGCGATTGTAGCGCATCATCAAGTCTTGAAGGCATTTAGGGGCTGTGCTCAGAGGTTTGTGGA